TAGTCAATATTTTAAACATTTGTCAGTTTATTTGTGTCAATTCTTGCAAAATTTAAATTAACGCTAATGAGAACTTGCTATTAGTTATTATAGCTTACTTGAATTTAAAGAAATAAAGCTGTAGTAGGACCTCAAAGATTTTGACAATGATGACCGTAATAACCACACTCAACAAAATAGATGACGACCGTAATATAATTATAGAGATGACCGTAGTATATGTACAAAATCAATTGGGATGAAAATATCTTATTCAATATCAGTACTAGATGTTCAATACAGATTACATTATACAAGATCTATATACTAATTAGTATGATGGTCATAAAAAAGAACTGAAACGTTTTAAATATGATTGATTTAGCACTTATCGATAAGAGAAGCCACGCTTAATTTAGAATGTTAAGCAAAGTATTCATAAAAATCTTGAAAAAAAGTAACACTTTTCTTCGAACTTATTTTATTTTTTTCTTTTTTATTATACAATGTTACATACATTATACATATAAAATGACAATATTAATAATTGCGACTATTAAGTTTATTTTGCATTCTTTAGGAATAATATTGATAATGCGACCATCACTACATTGTAAGTCCTAGTCCTCCTCTGAAAAAAGACAAACCTCGCCCTTCAAACAGTTTTAATTGCAACTGTTACCCAAAATGACAGTGACTCATCACTATATCTCATGTGTAATAAACCGTCCTTTGTTTATGGAACTTGCCGATATCAAGCAACAAGTCGAGTGCAATGTTGCCATGTTCTGATTTTTCATTAATGCACAAAAGTCATCCAAACGACCAATTTCTTCCATTTTCCTGATAACATCAGAAAGAACACTGTGAATTTCACTGCTTTCTGTGTTAGTCTCAGCATCTTGTCCAAAATCACATTGCTACTGACGTTTACTTTCATGAACTTCATTTTTTTTACTCTCAACATTTATACACACTGTATATCCATAACTGATTTTTTTTCTTTAAGTCCAGATAAGTATATATATAGGAAAGTGAATAGATTTATGTATAGTTTTTTTCAGTTTCTGAATATGCTTTGTACACTGAACAAAACTTCTAAGTTTTCATCTTACATTTTTTGAAGTTTTAAAGAACAAATGCAAACAATAAATGATTTCTTAATTCTTGGTTGATGATGCATAATTAAGTTCAATGTTTCATAATTTCATGTAAGTATCTCGTCACAATTTTAAGCAAAGTTTCAAGGAAATGATGTACCCTCAAAATGAAAAATTCACACAAAAAATCTACATTGTATATGGAGTATAACCACCACTCGCTCTATAAATTACTTGAAGACAATTTTTACAGTTGGATACCATGTATCCCTGAATAGGAGATTGACCCATCTGCTGCTACACCTACTGTATAGTTCTTTCCAAACAGACGAAATTGTGTGGAAAGGCAGGGCTTTGATTTTTATCATAAAATCCTAATAATGTTCTATGGGATTCAGATCCGGGTATTTGACAGTTAATCTTCACACAGATACCTTGTAGTTAATATTCTGGAGAGTGAAGCACGGAAGTGCACCTATTCAGACTACTGAGTACTTGGACTGAATTTAGACTGTCACGAGCACGGATTTTTTTTTTTAACATTTTTGTACGATTGAAATTGTTTGTTTTCATGTTCCGAAGATTGTTTCTGGACAATTTACCAACCTTTAACCCTGGAGCGATGCGAAATTTTGTCCTCAGACGAAGATCAAGGTCAATTCCGGTTTGGTTGAATTTGTCAAAAACTTTCAAATTGTGTTATTTTGGAGATCGATGAAAAATGACACACAACATATAGAAATATGTGCTTAAGTGGGTTTTGATACGGTTTGTTAATTTTTAAAAGTAATATCAAGTACAACTAGAGAGTTTACTATTGCTTGCAATAGCGTAACTATGTAGCCCCGAACTGTTTCTCTATTTCCATGGCAACTATTGATAATTTCGGACAAGACTTTCATTTTTTGTATCACTATAACAGTACCCATTAGATAAGATTGGACAACCATCAATTCTTATAAGTCCTTTGAGTTCTATGATTTAAACATCAAAGTTAAAGAATTTTCACCTTCCTCTAGTATCCATGGCAATAATCGATTATTTGAAAATTTTATATGCGAATCGCACAACTACAATTATCATTCACTAAAATAAAAAAAAGGTTTCATGACGAATATTCAAAGGCTTAGAGAGTACCCTTGCGGACAATATTCGTCACAAGACAATTTTAAGGTTTCCATGGCAAGGGTAGCCATTTTTAAACTAAATGACCATATGGCACAGCTACCAGCAGTGATCGTCCTTTGAGAAAAGTTTCAGAAAGATTGTCCCAGCCATCTTCGAAAAACAGCATGGACAACAAAAAATTGTGTACAGTCGCAATATGTCGTCACCGACTTCGTTCGGGACGACATAATAAAGCATCAAAATAAAAGTGAGTAAAATGTTGTGCAAAGATGGTCCAGATATTAACATTCCAACGATTCTACCTTCTATCTCAATGGTCATTTTGCCAAAGTTTTTTCAATTTGATAATGGTCACAAAAGTTAAAGATGCAAATTACACAAAACACGCAAAGTACAAATTTGTTTATTGCCTGTAAGCTTCGTCACGGAACCTTGTTTTTCATCGGTGATACTTTATTTTCTTTCTACAGTTGTTAAGAATACTCATTTGTGCAATAATTTGAAAATATCATACCATTCTATAAATAGTTTTTAAAAAAATATATTCATTTGATAAAAGTGAATACTTAAAAGTTTTGTTAAGTGTGTGGCACGTCAAATTCACAAAAATGAGCCACAGTTTCACAGTTGATAAACGAGGTTTTACGACTGTAAACCATAGTTTACAAACCATGAACTATAGTTTTCATGTGTAAAACTATATTTAACGGTTGTTAATTAACTAAAGTTTACGAAGAGTAATCTAAGTTTATCTGTCTTTAATAAAGCGTTTTACATTAGATTTTGTTGGAAAACATAGATTCACGTTTGAAAGCCATAATTTACAATCGTAAACTATAAGTAAGAATTGTTTATCATAGTTTCACAAATCGTGAAACTTTATTTATCAGATCGTTAACTATAATTAAGAATTGCAAACCATTGATTACAAATCGTGAAACTGTATTGATCAGGTAATCCATGTTTTGTAATTGCAAATGATTGTTTTCGGTGTTAAGTATAGATAACGGTTGTGAAACATAGATAATCGCGTTAATTATGGTTTACAGATGTAAAATATAGGTTAACGCTGTTGACTATAGTTTACAGTCCGTAAACTTTTGTTTACAACCGATATACTTAGTTTATTGACAGTGAAACTATGTTTAGCTCATTTTGTGAATTTGGCGTGCCATAGCTATGGTTTAAAATTACATGAACATCTTTTTTAAGGTTTCGTCAAAGGCCAACATGTCTAAAAATGTTTTTACAATAGCTCCAAAACTATGTGTGGTATGAAGTCAAAACTTTTACAGTTTATAAATATATCATTGATTAATAGATAAAAAGTATCACTTGATAACAAATATTTTTAAAAACATATTATTTGAGAAAAATTGTATCAGAAAATGTGCATATTTAAAGAAAAATGCACCTGGTTAATTCTGTTCTTGTTGTGAAAATGAACATTGTAAAAATAATATATGTTTATCATTGAAGGCCAGGTTGGGCGTGAATGGTCTCTGAAAGGCTGTTATTGAAAGCATGACACGTTTAAAGACAAGACCCCAATAGAATCTGCTATTTGCAATGTACTTTGACTTTCAAGTCTTAACATTTGGACAAAATAAACAGGGAAAACAACTTTCCAGAGGCTATATCCAAGTCCAACTTGCCCTTCATTGATAAACATATTTTGTTTCTGCAATGATGGTTTTCACTAAGATCACGGAATTAATTAGGTGTATTTTTTGAAAATATATACATTTTTAAGACGAATTTTTCTCAATTAATATTATACCAAGTATTTTTTTTTATCAGGTAATACTTTCTATATGTTAATCAATGAAAAATCTATATAATGTAAAACTTTTAACTTTATACCTCACATAGTTTTGGGGCTATTGTAAAAATAAATTTTGGACATGTTGACCTTTGACGAAACCTTAACACAAAAATAACATGATACGTCTGCCTCTACAACAGAAAAGAAAACACATTAGATTATATTTATATATTACGGTCATCCTACTTCATTGGGAACAATCTATATAACGGTCATCTTAAAATTTTGTTACGGTCATCATTGGCAAAAACTTTGAGGTCCTACTACCGCTGTATTTCTTTAAATTCAAGTAAGTTATACTAACCTATAGCAAGTTCTCATTAGCGTACATTTATATTTTGCAAGAATTAACACAGATAACCTAGCACATGTTTAAAATCTTGACTGTAAATTTCTAACCGGTGACCTCGGCCGACATGTTTTGATGACCGTAGTATATACTACGGTCAGCCGCTTTCCTACAGTGAATATTAGCCAAATATCGAAAAATTCTACTATATATATATATCGAGGGGGTAGAATTTTTCGATATTTGGCTTATTTAGCGACTTACTGATAAAAATTCAGGTGTGTATTTATATATCGAGGGGGTAGAATTTTTCGATATTTGGCTTATTTAGCGACTTTCTGATAAAAATTCAGGTGCCTGTGATGTAACTTAAAAGCACGAGAGAGCCTCTTAACATCGATCATACTGACTAGATCATAATTGTTTTGACAGTTGTGAATAAGTACATGTATTAACATTTTCTTCCAAAAATAATAATATTTTTCAAACATAAGAAAAATTTACACAATATTTTTAAACTACAATATGATCATTCCTTTTCTTTTGAACCAGCTTTGTCTTACAATTTCACAAATAAAGCAAAAATTTACATTGATTCGTTTAAAATTACGTAAAATTTCTGTAGCCAGTGACTCATGTCTCGATTTACTTCATTCAGGGTCATCTAACAATTTGAAAAACCCCCAATGATAGATCCCCTGGACAGAGCTCAAGTTCTCCTCTTCTGTGACCTTTGTCAAAGAGCTGCATTACAGAGTCATTGTGAACTTTGTCAGATTAACCTATGTAAGGCCTGTGTAGGGGAGCATCTCTCTGATTCATCTGAAAAACACAAAGTTGTACCATACAAACACAGAAAATCTACTCCTAACGTTAATTACTCAAAATGTCCAAACCACACCCAGAAACATTGTGAACTTTACTGTGAGAAATGTGACATTCCTGTCTGTTCTACCTGCATCTCCTCTGATAAACATAATGGGCATAAGTTAACAAATATCTTACAGAATCCCAGCTTTATAAAAGGAATTTTAAACAACGATTTGAAAGAACTAGAAAAAAGAATATGTCCTACATATGAAGAAATTGCATTAGATTTAAACTCTGAAAAAATCAATTTGGAAAAAAATTATGAGAAACTGACAACAGCTGTCACCAAACAAGGAGAAGACTGGCACAGAGAAATTAACATCATTGTCAACAAACAGAAATCTGAAATTGATGAAATGAAATCTAAACACCTGGCTGTTCTAAATAAACAGGAAAAAGAAATCAAACAGATTACTTCTGATGTTACACAGTGCATACTTGATCTAAAGAAAATACTGGACTCCAATGATGTCTCCCTAACCTCTGCATACAATTCAAGGAACGCTGAATTCAGAGGTTTACCTCCTAAAATCAATGTTTCATTACCAAGTTTCTCTCCTCATCAGATCAACACAGAAAAGCTCCATCAAATGTTTGGTTCTCTGTCAGCATTATCCATTACAACAGAAGAACATGGCTACACAATGAAGACACCAGAAGCTGTATCCTGTCCTCCAGTCAAACCACTGCTTGATGAACCAGAGCTCATCACCACCATAGACACTGGGTATTACTTTCTAAAGAGTGTTACCTGTCTCAGTGATGAAGAAATCTGGACATGTGGAGAAGACAAAATCATGAAACTTTACAACCTCCAGGGAAAACTACTGAAGTCAATCCAAACCAAGTCTGGGAAAATACCATGTGACATAGCAGTGACAAGGAGTGGAGATCTAGTTTATACTGACCTGGGTACAAGAACTGTAAACATAGTGAAGAATGACCAGATAAAGGAAGTGATCAGACTACAGGGGTGGAGACCTAACGGTGTCTGTATTACCTCCTCTGGTGACCTCCTGGTTACCATGGACAGTGATGATAATAAACAAACAAAAGTTGTCCGTTACTCTGGCTCCACAGAAAAACAAACCATTCAGTTTGATAGTGAAGGTAACCCTCTGTATTCATCTGGTGACCTTGAATACATCAGTGAGAACAAGAACCTGGATATCTGTGTGGTTGACTCAGAAGCCCGTGCAGTAGTGGTGGTTAATCAGGCAGGAAAACCCCGATTTAGATACACTGGTCATCCCTCTATTACTAAGGGATCATTTGATCCATTTGGCATCACAACAGACAGCCAGAGTCAGATCCTGACAGCAGACTGGGACTACCAATTTATCCACATCCTAGATCAGGATGGACAGTTCCTCCGTTACATTGATAACTGTGATCTTCATTATCCATATGGTTTATGTGTAGACACCAGAGACAACCTCTTTGTGGCTGAGTTAAACACTGGTGAAGTGAAGAAAATCAAATACATGTAATCAATGTGTTTTAAATAATGACATGTTTGTGATAGAATATTTTTCCAGTAGCCAACTTAATCACAAGATGTAGTTTAATTCACTTTCTAGTGTTGATGTGTGCGCGTGTGTGAAAATATTTTCAATTTTATCAATAAGGTATAATATATAAATAAAAAATTAAATTATTAATAACAATCGTTTCAGAATTCTACCCAATATTTAAATGATTTCTCAATATAATATAACATAACATTGGAAGAAAACCATGTTTATTTGCAAGCATGAAGAAAGAAAAATTATGTTTATTTTTCAAATTGATCCTGTTTCATGTACTACACACTGAAGGGTTGTGATTATACTGTACTTTTGATGCAGTTATAATAAAATGCCCTTAGATCTTAAATAAATGTACATCCTTTTAATCTAGTTATATGTAATTTATTTAAGAAGTTTAATTGACTAAGATAAATATTAACCACTTTATTTCCATGTTTTTCAAGGATTCATTGGGACTCATATGCAAGATAACAAGGTTTGCCTGTATATGTAATCTTAAACAAAGATGAGAAATCTGATTCAACAATCCTTTTATTGTAGACATTTTCATTTTAGTTCACATACATCTTTAATACAATGGTCAAAAATGATTTCAACAGATATTAATGCGTCAAGTTCCATGGGATATCAGCTAAATAAGTCCACTGTCAGTAGAACTAAATATCAAAAAGTCATATCAAATTTTATAGACAATTCTTTCACTATAGTGAGCCAGCTATATCTGTTTTTATAACTTGTCAGCTCCCCGTGTTGAGCCTCAATAGTCTTCTTACTCTCCTTATGAGGGCCTCCACAAAGCTGTAGTGGGTATTCCTAAACAAACAAACAAATAATGGATTAATCCAAAGTTTTGTCACAGTTGGGTCATAAATTTAAATATGGTTCATTTATATTATTATTCATAACCCCTGCTTGAAAAGCTGGGTTTAGGGTATAGTGATGGGGATGATTGTTCATCCATTTGTATGTCTGTCCAATAAACATTTTTGTTTTACCCATCTCTTATCCATAACTCCTCTTATATAAATAAAAATTATTTAATTTCATGGAAACTTTATTGCATAGAGCATTTGTGCACATACAGTGGAGCCTCATTTATCCGGACGCTTAGGTTCCCAATAAATTTGTCCGGATATGTGAAGCGTCAGGATATCTGAATCACCAGTTTAACAAGACAATATAACATTTAAAAATTCTGTCCCAATGAAATATCGTCCGGATACTGAAGCATTCGGATATCTGAAGGTCCACTGTATTTTACTTTTTCATCCAACACTTATTTCATGTCTCTCAGACCAAAACATATGGACTTTGCCATTATAATAATATGGGAGGCAGGGGTGTCATTTGTGGAGCTCTGTTTTGTGCTTATATATGGTATATGTTCTATTTTAAAACAGTGATCTTTTTTTTATTACGTTGTAAAAAAAGGTTGATGAAACAGATTTTAATTATGGCTTTTGGGAGAGGATTTAAGTTGGGCTGTGGGAAAGGTCATTTTGTAAAAGTGGGCTGATTTAGAGGGGCGGATGAATCACTTCTGTGAAGTGTACATAGGCAATTTAGCCACATATGATCCACATATGCATTGCCTTTCATATGAAGATCATATGTGGATCATATGAGAATCATATGTATATACAATCATATGAGAATCATAAGAAATGCTGCTCTTTAAAAGATTTCCCCTCTTTGTAATAACAAATATGACCACACCCTACTCCAGGGGTCATGATTTGGACAATTAATTTAGAATCTACATTATTCCATGATCCTTCCACATATTAAGTTTTAGGTTTTCTGGCCCAGTGGTTCTTGAGAAGGAGATTTTCAAAGTTTTTTTTTCCTTTATATTTCTATGTAAAACTTGGATTCCCTATTGTGGCCCCGCCCTTTACCCAGGGGGTCATAATTTGTATAATTTAGAATCTACACTACCCCAGGATGCATCCACTTAAGATTCAGCTTTTTTGGCCTAGTGGTTCTTGAGAAGATTTTTTAATGATCCCACCCTATTTTTGTATTTTCTTGATTATCTCCCCTTGGCGGGGAACTTTGCCCTTGATTTTTGCAATTTATACTCCCCTTCACCAAAGGATGCTTTGTACCAAGTTTGGTTTAAATTGGCCCAGTGGTTCCTGAGAAAAGGTTGAAAATGTGAAAAGTTTACAGACGGACGGACAGCTGGACAGACGGACGGACGACTGACAATAGGTGATCAGATACAAAATTTATTTTGTTGACCTCTTCTCAACAGGTTGACTTAAATTGACCAGACTCAAAACTTTTTTTCTAACATTCCAGATAACATTTTTTTTTCTTTTTATTCCTCTTATCTCCTTGACAAATATGTTTGAAAAAATTTTGAATAAAGAATTTTCTTGAAATATAAAAGGTTTTTCTTGAAAAAAGATTTTTCCACCAACCTACATGTACCAACCATTAGATTGTACCCCAAGCCAGGAGAGGGCAAGCATTTTTAAAGATGACCTAAGCTACCTAAATATGGGATGTGGCCAAATTGTGAAAGGGGATGCATAACCAAGTCTTAAATGTAGAAGAGATGGCTAAGTTTTTTTTCTTTCATTTATTTTTGTTTCCCCTTGGCCTCTTCATTATCTACCCTTTCACTTTTACTGTGTCAATATTTTGTACCTTTTTGAGGAGTGAGTCATGTATGGCAGAGTTTGCTGTCTGTTTCAGTCATCATTCTTCACTGGTTACCCCCATCATAAGCTGTCGACGTCTGTCAATGTCTGGTAAAGAGTCTGCATCAGATTCTCCAAATGATGATAGAGAAATCCCTGTCAAATCTGTTAATATTTAAAGGATTAACCTATCATATATCACTATCTGGAAGTACATGACACACTTGGACAAAAAATTTCAATATTGTACACAGCATTATTTTCATTCAGTTTTATTTTTGCTCAATCCTACACTTCTTAACAAATTTGTGGCGAATGCCCTATTTTAAACTCACTTAGACTAAGCTATAGTGTCTGTTTTTATATTAAAATTCACCCAATTTTGAATTCTATCATTGATGAAGAAGGTATAAAAAAAAATTGGAGGTACAATACTTTCCCAGCAAACAGTTAGACTCATTTCACTGAGACAAAAAATGATAGGGCATAAACTTGTTTGTGCCACATAAAAAAGACCTGAGATATACGGCAACGTATCTCGGAAAAAACCAATCCGGGTTTCAAATTTAGTTGTTTGTAACACTGCACAGACGGACACAGACTACCAATTATTTTGCTATACATTCCTTTATAATATAAAAAATGATTTAAAAAATTACACCAGCTCAACTTAAATTACCTGAAACTTGGCACAGAGTTAGAAGAATTCAAGTCCAAAAATTTTTCAGACTCTCAGGAAAATTCATCGCATGCAGTTCCTGCTAAGGCATCGCAAATAACCCCTACCCTGCTTTTTTCACTTTCTCTTCAGGGAAAGGGTAAATATGGGCCTCTTTACACCATTCCTACTACGCGCTTAAGTGCAAAATTTCACATATTAACAATTTTATATTTTTTGCAAACCCTCTCCTTTCCATCTATACTCAAAAATAACATCAGTCCACCCCATAAACACCCCAAAGAATTTTTATGAAAAAATCTCTATTTCTAAACTGGAACTACTTGAGTGGTCAATGAAATAGGGGTAAAATTAGTAGTCTGTAACTTAATAAGGACACAAACCTTGTTTGATTTCACTGAAATTTGACATGCTGGAGTCTTTTGTATCTACAAAGTGGCCGGTGAAGTTTCATTGAAATTGATGATTCCTAAGCAGAGTTATGGCCCTTTAATTGATGTGCTGGAACACCTTAAATCAGAGGGTAAAATAAGCATTAGGCACACAGTTCTCAGATTTGAAATGCTCACAGCTCACATGCATATGACAGTTATTTTCTTTCCTTATATTTTTGTATACTAGATAAATATGTCCTACACAAATTTCAAGAACAAAACTTAACCTATTGCATAAGTAAATATTTTAAACAATTTTTCAAAAAGATACCTTCAAAAAGCATAAAATTCATGTAAATATTGTATGAGTAGAATTTTTAGCAAGGATTTAATTTTGGCATTATTAGCGAGGGTGCTGAGATTGCTGAAATTAAATATCGCTAAAAATTAATTCTGTTTTATTTTAAAAGCTTCTCTGGTCAACATTTTAAAAATTGCTAAAATTGCATCTCGCTAAAAATAAATTACCAGTTTTTATGCAGAAATCGCTTAATTTGCGTCTCGCTAAAATTTCCACTTATACGGTATTAAAAATAAAAATATTCAGCACATTTTAATTTAACTAAAACAAATATTAAAAGATTCTACAAAGATATAGGCTATGAAAAATTAGTATAAAAGTAAAGGGAAAGAGAATATTACCTTAGTTATAAGCAGATTATCCAACCTGGTCAATTCAGTCTCTGTCAGGAAGTGGTACTTACTACTCTAATTGGATTATCCCTGGTCATATTTAGACTTCTTTAATGGGTATTTCTTGTAACAATATGCATTATTAGATAATAAATACCAAAAAATCTGTGAAATTTTGGATTTTATAATTCTGAATTTAAAGAAAAGGAATTAATATACATGTATGCATTTTACCTACATACATTATTCAGGCTGCTGTAGAAAAAGGGGAGGCAACTCTGCATTATAAAGGTACCAAAAAAAACAAAATGATTAAAAAGCATGTCTATATACTTTCAATGGTTCAGCATAGGAAATACATATTATGCATGTGTCACCTATAATCACTCCTGAAGATGCTTGGAAGCTAGAACAATGGGGGGGGGAAAGGTTCTATTAAAATGGAGTACATAAATTCTGTCTGTTTTGTGTATAAGTATTTCTGCACAGTGTTTATCCAAAATCTTGAAAACACATGTTCTTTGTCAAAAAATGATGATTTTGTCTGATATGCGACCACCGACAATGATGTCCAAGATGCCACAAGAGTAGTAGAATTCAGTAGGACCAAACATCCCATATGAAATGTTGAGCACCTTACTGACCTCCCCTTTCTTGGACAATCACAGATCAGTGCCAACAATCAGACAGCAGATATTCAATTCCAAAAGAAGAAGAAACAAGAGGCCCAAGGGCCACAGCTCTCACCTGAGCACATCAGGCTTGAATTCACCCCCCCCCCCACCGACCAGGCGTTCATCATTTGAACAAACTAGAATCTACACTACCTGAGGATGATTCCATATAAATATCACTAATCATAGCTTGTACTTGAAAAGAAGATTTTAAAAGGTTTCCCTATATATCCCTATGTAAAACTTGGGTCGGCCATTTTGGCCCAACCCTAGCCCCGGGGATCATAATTTGAACAACCTTGAATCTACACTACCTGAGGATGATACCCCATGAGTTTCATCTTTCCTGGCCCAGTGG